AGTCTCCTTCCCCTCCCAGTAGCTGGATGGCTTCATTGGTCCATCATCCCAGAGGAGCACAAGAATAGCACCGAGAGTACTAGGCATGTCTGAGAGCCCAGAGGACGGGGACCAGAGCACAGACCTAGTAGCACAGCAGCGGGTATCAGCAAGGGAGTTGATTGGAGATGCATTTTGTGGAGACCGCTAAGCATTCAGCTGCTTCTTTAAGGTGGAGTTTGTAGAGACCTGCCATCTGCTGGCAAATCATACTAATCACATTCAGCATCCTCTGATGGTGGGGAAATAAGGGCTTTGAAGTGGAGGGAGACTGTTTTTACGCTGCCTGGTTATGTTCCCATTGCTGTCTGAATGTTTGCTTTCTCACACTGCTAGGAGAAATGGATTTCTGGACACTTTTAAAGTCTTAAGCAAATGAATACATCCAGTTAAAATGAATCCAAAGAGTTGATCTGAAGTCACAAGTCATAGTAACAAATACAGGTGAAATAGCGTGTGGGTTTTCCTTTTGAGAAATCATGAGTGACCTTCATCAATACTGTAAGTTGGCTGATTAAAAGGTCAAGACAATTTTAGCCTCATCGTACCTGAATTGCAAGCCCTCGCTGGAAAGTCTTGTCTGATAAGAGCAACATCAAATAGAGACCTAGAGGGCCTTCAAGTTATGTTCTGCCCCCTAGGCAGGCAGCACAGAAGCTATACCAGGTTTTGGAGCTTAAAGGGCCTGATCCTGTGAGGAACCAAGTAATCGATTCCATGTGCACTTCACTGGGACTAGAAGACATTTAACATTGTGCAAAATCAGACCCTCCACTCCCCGCCCTCTACCCAGGGCTGTGTTCCCAGCACTGGTCTACAAATGTGATTGCTAGCCCTCTCTGGTTGTGTTCATTTAAACTCTTCCAAGAGGCTGTTCAAAATCTTACAACCACCTTAGCATTGTCAGAGGGAAGTAGAGTAAATATAAGCTCCCTTGGCTTTATCTGTCTGGAAAACAGAAGCAGTAAGGGCTTGTAGCATTTAACACTTCTCATGATCCTCTATAGCTGGTAGCCCAAGGCTAAAGAGCGCAGTCTAAAGCCCATTTAAGTCAATAGGTGTATCTCAACTGATACCAGTGGAATCTGAATCAGGCCCTTCAGAAAGAAAGCAGTGTGCCTGGGGGATATTGATTGGGTTGATATCATCTTTGGTTAATTATTTTCTAGGCTCGGGGTGAGGAGCTGTTGCTGACTCAATCTTTGTGGTACGATTATTTTATTGATGGCAAAGGACAGAGATGCTAGGACAGGTTTTTGATGCTGTCAAGCTAGACAAATAACCAAAAAGGATTATCAGTAACAAAAATCATGCATAGTAAAAAATTAAGCTTGTGGCAAAAGCCTGAATCCCGGATTCTTCCCACATCGTTAAGTATCGTTTTGTGGGGATCACTCCCTCCAAAATGTACCCACAAGGCAAGGCAGCATCCTGCTGCATCTGCTAAAAGGATGTCATGCACAGCTGTCTGCCGCTGCATGAATGCGGCCATACTGGTTCTGGATCAAGAGAGTGCCATAAGCTACCTTCTGAATAGGTAGTATTGTAGCCACACGGTAAAGCACTTGGGCTAGTTGGATCCAGAAGTGGTGCAGACTGCTTCAGTTCTGTCAACCAGCCAAGACTATCTTTCCATTGATGGAGTAGCACTGCTGACCACTGCGTACTCCATGGATGTAGGAACTTATCCTGCCCTAGCACGGCAGTGCTTTTGTCCTAGAGCGCAAAGCAAGGAAATTAGGAAAGCAGACTGAAATTGGGCCTAGACACTGGTTTCACTTCTGCCATACAGACTGGTCTTGTTAACTGTGGCAACCCCTAGTAGTCAGTGTGACTTGCCTGAAAGAGAAACAGCACCTCTTTTGGAATAGGCTGGGGCATTTGGTCATGGCAAGCTCACTGAACAGCACCTGCCATCTACTGAATTACCAGCCCCATTATGCCAGGCTTGTGTGCTCTGCAGGTGTCCCTGATGTGAGTACTGACCTAGCCCAGTTCTGCACAGGTTATGAGAAATGATGGAGGCTGACAGCACAAAATGCACAACTACAAGCAAACCAAATGCTTCCAATTTCCTAGCATAAGTGACACCTATAAGGGACAGTCAGGCAAACACAATGTTTACAATAAGTTGCTGTGCTCTCAAGAAAGCGGCATCCGCCGAAAGCATGATTCAGTGAAGAGCAATTTATTGGCTGAGGTGAGTATCCAGGGAGTTTGGGAGAAGAGCTATTTATACAGACTTTACAATGCACTCTGAGTCAGTCTGTGTTGTTTCTCCTTCATTCTTATGGTGAGCAGGATCTCTAGTCTGGATTTCAAGGCTCTGGTGCTACTGTTCATTGTCAATGACATGGATTTGTAGCCCTTGCATCACTTAGAGCTTAAGCTTGAAAAAGAAAGGAAGGAGCTTACAATACAGAGAAAATTACAGCGTAGGTCTGCTGCCTGTTGAAATATGGGTGGTTTTGTGTGCCTCTCTTAAATTGAGCTTCCCCTGTATCCAGCCGGACAGGCGGCACCTGCACAGGATGGCAGCACTCCGTCCCCGCCTGCCTGTACCCCCTAGGGCCTTCTCAAGTACCCCCAGGGGTACACGTACTCCCTGTTGACAACCCCTGCCCTAGAGTATAAACACATTGGCCCTACATGAAGCTTCAGCTGCTCCAAAGGCCCTTCTCAGCGTTTTCACGCATATTCCTGGGGTCTGGGTGCCTAGACCTGACCTGGCAATGTGTGTGCTTACAGATTCTCATTGGCTGTAACCAGAGCAGCAGCATGTGTGTCTCCAGCTGAAACCCCTCACGGAAATGCATGTGTTTGCATAGATCCTGAATGTCCATAGCTGACATGCGTCTACTTGCAACCAGCCTGCCGACTGATCTCGAGAGCCTTTCCAGCCTCACCTCTCTGCCATGTGTGATCTGGGAAAAAGATATTAGAAAAAACTCTCTCAGGAGGAGGATGGTGAGGCAGTAGAACAGGCTGCCCAGAGAGGTGGCGCAGTCTCCATCCTTGGAGGTTTTAAAGATCCAGGTAGACAAAGCTTTGGCTGAGATGATCTATTTTGGGCTGGTCCTGCCTTGAGCAGGGGGCTGGATTAGATGTGACCTCCCGAGGTCCCTTCCCACCTGAACTTTCTGTGATTCTAGGACCTGACATGTGTGTTCCTGAAGGTTTTAAAGACCCAAGCAGACAAAGCCCTGGCTGGGATGATGCAGTTGGGGCTGGTCCAGCTTTGAGCAGGGAGCTAGAGTAGATGTGACCTCCTGACATCCCTTCCACCCTGAATTTTCTGTATTTCTAGGACCTGACCTGCGCGTTCCTGGGGCCTGCCCGGGCAAAACACGTGTGCTCACCCACACAGCTCCCCCAGTGTCCGCTCCTGGAGCCAGCACGCATGCGCACTGAGGACAGCCACCCAGCCCGGCGCAGCCCTACCCACGTGCTCCGAGCGGAAGGAAGCCGCCGGGAGCTTCCCCCCCAGTGCGCAGGCGCCGGGCGACGCGCGCGATTGGCTGGCGGTGCGCATGCGCCCTGATAGAGCGCGCATGCGCGGGCGGTGGGCTGGCGGCGGCCGAGGAGCCTTAAAATGGAAGATGAGGAGGTCGCCGAGAGCTGGGAGGAGGCGGCCGACAGCGGGGTAAGGGTGGCCTCAACTCCCACTCCGCGCGCGGAGGCACCGGGGCTCGGCGGCGGCGCGGCCGGGGTCGCTCGGGCTTGGCAGCGCCCGACTAGGCCTCTTAAAGGGGCTGCGTCCCCTTTTCCTGCGCCCCCCCCTTCCGGGTTCCTCATGCCCCTGGGCTCCAGGGCGGGGCTGGCAGGTGCCCAGGATGCCGGTGCAGGGCAGGAGTGGTGCTAGCTGATGCGGGGGAGTGGCTTCTCCCTTCTATTCAGCACTGGGGAGGCCACCTCTGGATTTTTGGGTCCAGCTGTGCCCCCCTCCACTGCAGAAAGGATGTGAGTGAGTTGGAGAGAGTCCAGTGAAGAGGAAGGAAAATAGTTCAGGGCTGGGGGAGAGCACTGGGAGGAGAGGCTGAGGAAAATGGGCTGGTTTAGTTTGCAGATGGGAAGACTGAGGGGGGGGTAGCAGCCTGGTGCCCAACTGTGGGGGGCTGAACCTTTCCAGCCCCTCTTGTCTATGAAACTCCCTTCGAAGAGGATGGAGCTGGGCTGTTCTCAGCGGCGGCAGATGACAGAACAAGCAGCAATGGGCACAAGCTGTAGCAAGGGAAGTTGAGGTTGGATATTAAGGAAAACTTTCTCACCCAGAAGGTAGTAAAGCACCAGAGCAGGTTACCCAGGAAGGTGCTTGGAGGTTTTAAGATCTAGGTAGACTTGACTTGGGATGATGTAGTTGGGGCTGGTCCTGCCTGGAGCAGGGGTTGGACTAGATGTGACTTCCCAAGGTCCCTTCCCACCCTCATTGTCGGCGAGTGGCCCCGTCCCTGCGCAGACCCGGCTGGACTCGGCTTTTGCCGCCAGGTCTGCCCCTTCCTTCCGCGCCGGTTGGAAAAGAACTTCCCGGTGCTCGTTGTAAGCCAACGGCCTGCTCCTTCCACCTGCCAGCCTCTACTCTCAGAGGGCTGTTTTGGGACCCTTTCCAGGTTGCAGGGCGGCACGCCTCTGGTTATCTGCTCCAGACATGACTTGACTCTCTCTCCTCCGCTGTGAAACATTAAAGATCTTCTTTCTAGCCCCCAGGAGAGGCAGGGTTCCCTTCTGAAATCCTCTTCTGAAGGCGCACGTGGGTATGGTGTGACACGTTAGAGTCCAGCGAGGCTAGAATTATTGCTTGGTGTTCAGGAGTCGGCTTTGTCACTTGCATTTCCACATCAGAAGGTGCCTGAAGGGTCCCAAATGCTTGCACTCATCATTACACTATTGGAAGTACATGGTTGTTTGAAGTGTAGCAGGGGTGGATGATCAGTAGGAGGTATACACCTGCTGAGTCAGGGAAGGGGAAATTGCTCAGTGACATAAGAGCAAACCACTATTGTGAACAGGTTCTCTAATGTTTGCAAAGCAGACAGGCTAAGTAACAAACAGTGTGAGTTGCGAAGAGCTAGAATTTCATCTTGGATGTTGCTCTCTACACTCTTCTCCCTGATTAAAATGATATTAAATTGTTATAGGGTATTTGGGTTACAGTCTGTGTGAGAGTATGTTAAGCAATGGTAAGCTTGTAAGCCTGGGTCTTCAAGTAGCGTGTGAGATGTCAGTGATGCACCGGTAGCGTGTGGTCAGGTGCATAAAGGCTGTTTCACTGATGGTGCTGATCCTTCATGCTGCGGGGAGCATTGTCATGACTGCTGGGGATGAGTCTACATCTCATTAAACAGTTCTATCGGGGAACCTAATTTAGGAAAATCTCATTTTTGGTGCTGTTCCTCCCCAAACTGCTTTCCCAGTGGAGTCCAGAAGACCAAAGCTACTGGGTATGGCCCATAGTCGGCTACACTAGGAAGCAGACTGAGAGTTGAGTTGTAAATGCTCAATGCCAACAGCGGTATACGTTGTAGCTGTGTTGGTCTAAAGATGTGGGCAGACAAGGTTCTTTGGGTAAATCTGATATCTTTTATTAGATCAATTCAAGTAGGTGGAAAAATTCTTAGCAAGCTCTTGGGTACAAATACTTCCTCATCCTGACAAAGGGTATCTGCAGTTGGTGCGCGCTCTTCCTGCATGGAATGAATAGTAAACAAGCCAGAGGCTGGCATACAGGCAAGAAAACCAACCTCTGGCTTTCAAAGAAAGCTTGCAAAGAAGAATTTTTCCAACTATTTGAGTTGGCCTAAAAAAAGATATCAGATTTACCCAAAGAACCTTGTCTGCCAGTGCTTACAGCTGCTTCTAAAACCAATCAATGTCTTCATGTCTGTTAAGAGCAAACCTAACTGGTTCCAGTGTTGGACCAACCACCCTGGATGGATACTCCATAAGAGTTGACAGTGGGACCAGAGTTGCCAGTGGTGGAGAAAGGGCCAAATGAGAAGAGAAATAAGAAGCAAATAATGGGAGAGGTTCGGAAATGAGCTGAAGGACAGGGCAGGCCGTGTGACTCTTATCACAAAAGATAAACTTGCCAAATTAAAGCCAAGTAAAAATAGATATACTTGCTTGAGAACAGCTACTGTACCTACTGCCAGGCTGTGACATTTGAGAACTGCTTTAGTAGAACTGCCCCAGTCTGAATTATGAGGAAGAGTTATGTACAAGATCCCAACGACTGACCTGATCTTCAGTTGCCAATAGGTCATTGCATAGGACACGGCAAGACTCTTTCTCCATCTGTTCCTGGCTCTGTGTAGTACACGGTTGATGACTGCTACATCCAGAGCTTACCTAGCAGAGTGAGACGGGCAGGATTTTTCTTACTGAGCAGGTGAAAGAAACATAAGTGCTTAACTCTGGTCGTTTATATTCTAACAGAATGGGTGAAATGGTATTCTAGAAATGGTATACTTTCACCCAGTGCATGCTTAAATATTTTAATATCGCAGCTATTCAGATGGGTATGCCTGGGTAGTTCAGGGCGAACATTAGACTCTTACAAGACTGATATCAGTAGAAATCATGTAGTTCTAAGACTCCACATGAAAAGTTGTATTCAAACTTACACCTGCCTCTGCAGGGTACTCCATGCATCATTTTGGTGCACGAGAGCCAGAAAGTGAAAGGGATTATTCTAGATGGATCACTGTCAAAGGTAAATACAGTGGAGAAGGGGGGAGAAATCCTAAATTGCAGGTATCTTTTAAGAACATGCATAATCCAACGTACTGGTATTGGTAGCAAGCACAAAAAATGTAAACATGAGACGTCATGGATGGTTGCCCTTTAGCTAATGTTTCTAGCATTTTTCCAGTGGCGTCTTTGCTGAAGACATGTGACTGACTCACTAGTGTTTAGTCACTTGCATTATATGGATATTGTAATATCTTTTTACATGGTGAAACTTGGAGATAAATTATCACCTAAGTAGCAATAAAGACATGTAGAAAAGTGACCCACAAAGGATTTTTAAGCAACCAGGCCTTTGTTTTTGCCTCTTGTTGGTGTCTGGCACATAAAGAAGACCCGAAGTGTTGTATAGCTTGTGTTTGCTTTTATCTTCTGCTTTAAGAGACCACGGACATGAACTCTGGTCTCCCTGGGTGGTGTTAGAGCAGTGGTTCTCAAATTTATTAGACTCGGGACACTCCTCCATAACTTTTGTGAATTGAGTGGCACAAAAATTTCAAAAACAAACTTCTATATTACAGAGCTTACCTCCTTGTAGAGGGGATGGATAGTGGGGATGGGGAATTGTCTAAGCAGTGGTAAGTCTGTTTTTCTGTCTAATTTATCTGCTTATCTCCTTGCACCTTGCTCATCTTGCAACTCAAGGCACCCTTCAAAGGATCTGATGGCACTCCAGGGTGCCCTGATACTGTAGTTAAGAAACACTCTACTAGAGGCAGACAAGGTTCCTTCGTCAGGCTCAGGAAGCTGCAGCAGTTGGTGTGTGCTCTTCCTGGATGGAAGCCTGATGAAGGGTTTTTGAACCCGAAAGCTTGCTTAATAACTATTCTCCAACCATTTGGGTTGGTCTAATAAAAGATACCAAATTCACCCAAGGAACCTTGTCTGCCTATATCCTTAGACCAACACGGCTACAACCTAAACCCCTGCATTCTACTAGAGGGACACTCAAGTGTTCAGGCATGAATGTGAAAGCTAGTGACACAAATCCAAGATGCTGATGATTGTCTTGGCCTCCTATTTCTAGTGTTGTCATTTCACCCACTGTTGCTGTTCTTTAGGGACTGACAAATCTTGAATGTCCAGTGTAAGGGGGGGGCGGGAAAATCAGAAAGGCCTTTCTCATATGCTTGGAAAATAAAACGCACACAGCTACTCAGCAAATGGGCACAAGTTAAAGTTTCTTTGTTGCTGGTCACTTCTTAACTAGTAGGTCAGACACCTGAGGACTGAACGCCTACCAGCTTTTCTCTCATCTGTGTGAGCCTGAATACCATCTCGGATATTTTTGCTTTAGCCATTATTAATTTTACATGTCTTATCAAATCCCCCATTGTGGCAGCATCTGAATTCCTTCCAGCATTTCACTTATTTTATCCCAATATAGCCCTGTGAGGTAGGGACATGCTGCTTCTTCATATAGATGGGCAAATGAGGTACAAAGAGGAAGAAAAAAAACAAAACAATTTCCCTAAAGTCATAGACTTCCTATGTGTCAGCGCAGGGGGGATTGAGCCTAACCACTAACATTGCTTAGGGTGTAGTCAGCTTCCTGTCTGCATAGCTCTCTTTTTTTTTTTTTTCTCTGCTATAGGGGAGCATGGAAACAAAAACTGGCAGAGCAGTTTGTGGTAGCTGTAATGTCTGGACCTGTCACACTTGGTTTCAAAATCCAATACACTTCAAACTAGCATCTTCACTTCAGGGTTACGTGGACATGTACTATACCAGTCTGAGCTCTAAATCATGTTTTATGTTTGCTCATCTGTTCATCTCCATGATGCATACTTCTGAAATTGCTAAGGCTGCTAATAGCAAGAATTCTTGCAAGTGATATCTCTTGTTGGACCAGATGCATAAATGGGGTAGACATAGGCAAGCTTTTTGGGTATCGCAGTACCCTTCCTCAGGCTGACCAACACTAAACGGAATATAACCTTTTGTTTTGTGCTGATACAGTGGTGGTGGTCCAGAAGGAAGATGCGCTTTTTCAAAAGTAGACTGCGAAGAGAAAGTCACCATCGCTGTTCATGTGTAGTTTAAAAAAAAAAAAAAATCCAGCTGTATTAATGTCTGTCTGCTGCAAGAGGCTACTTAGCTTGCTTAAAACAAACCACCACTTGCATTTGGTGAAGGGGAAGAGCGATCATTGCTTATGGGCTCAGAGGACTTTAATGTGGGTGTGTTACTAATGCTTTTGTTCATGAAACTAGCAACAGCAGCATTTTTTCACACTTTTCATTAGGTGATGCAGTTTTGACCTAAACCAAGCCCTCTGTACCCACTGCAGTTAGACAGCTCTGCACTCTGATGTGACTAATTCTGATTTCTTCTCTTAGCAAGGTGGCTCGCTGGGATAGATGAACTTTTTGTCACATCCCAGTAATATCTCCTTCAGAGCTGCTTTGAGTAGTTCTGCGGCCGAAAAGTTCTTCAGAGGTGTTATGTTCGTATCGCATGCTCAGAAGGCAGTGGTGTTAAACTTCTTTAAAAATAAGTCTTGATTTCAAATTTAGGACCCATTGCTAGTTTATTACAATATGTATTGTACGAGCTTTCTGTGCAGGCTTAAAACTAAACCTCGCATAGTTCAAAGTCTAAGTTTAACTTGGACCCTGCCCCCTGGCTAGATGTGTCTTGTGATACGGAGCCCCTGAGTAGCAGAGACTTCAATTTTTTAAAATTTTTTTTTATTCTCAATTGCCAGCTGAAAATATGAGCAGTTGAGCAGAAGAGACTGGGTCTTGCAGATGCCTTCTATGATTGTATGTTGTACCTCTTTACTTGCAGGCTCAAAATATTGCACGTGTTCCTGCGAAACAGCCTGGGCACTAATGGAAGTAGCTGTCTGAAACGGAGCTCAGGGTGTCCCCACTCGAAACCCGCGCTTCAGTTGCAAAGTCTTGCCACCCCTTTATGTTAAAGGGCTGAATTTAGGTTGTTGCCTAAGCTGTTGCAGTACATTTTAACCAACTTCAGCCATGATCAAAGTACAGAGAAGTCAGGGTCAAATATTTAAGAACCTCATTTGTAGATTGACAAGCTGCATTGCTCCCTCTAGTCACAAAAGAGCAATTTGGTGGAGTCGGGCAAATACAGTGAGATGCTAGTGCATAAATATAGGATTACACAGCTCTCAGTTCATTGCAAGATTAATAATAACTGAGGAGATTTGCGGCTAACAATATAGACAGTATAGGGATGAACTTTGATGTCAAGGACTATAAAGGGATATGGAAAATATTGCCACTTCCTGGAGTTCATATCCAGTCCAGAGCTCACAGGTGCTTTGAAACTGGGGCACGTAGGTTTATAGACTGTCACCTAGGCCTGCCAGACAGTTGTGGCAGCTCCCGTTTCCCAGTCTAGCTGCAGAGGCTTCTGACAAGCATTAAGGAAGATCGAAGCATCTCTGAAGTTGAAAGCAGCCTGGGTCTTCTCAGCCTTGCATTAGCTACAGACTGCAGCCAGGATTTAATGAAAGCAGAGTAGCCTGGAGAATTAATTAATGGAGCAGTCTGATTCCCAACAGCCTCAGGAATCGAAATGTTCCATTAATTAATGGAACATTAATTTCTCTTCAGAGGAAAGAAATGGATACTTAATGGAGAAACAAATTAGTCGTATCTTAGAATTATCTCATGTTTGAGGGTCTCCCAAAGCACCTTATTTGGATTTTTGTGGCTTTATGGCTGAATTATGTACTTAATAATGGCTTATACAGTCGTGAAAGCTAAAACCTATTTCTGCTGAGAAAGGGAATGCTAGGTCACTGGGGTCATTGATAAAAGCCAATGGGATCTTTGATAATTGGTAGAAATCACCTTGTTTAACGGTATCGTAAGACAAAATGATTCCAGAGCTAAAACCTACTCAATTTATTCACTTGAACCATTTTGGTGTATTCAGCAGAAATCTGTAGTAAGGGATGTGCCTGGTGTTCTTGAGAGCTGTAACAGTCTGATAACGTTTTAGGAAGGTGTAGTACCTGGTGATGGTTACAGTGTGTGCTGCCAATATGGAAGTTTGGATATTTTCTCTCTTTCCTCCCAGGTAACCCCAAATTGTTGCGTAAGCTTATCCTTAAAAAGACACCACTCCCACAATATTAAGGAATTATGTAATCTCTGCAAAGCTTTCTTGCTCCTTTGTTTCTAAGGGGCTTCTCAGCAAGGGAGAAACAGATTATGCAGGGGAAAGAATGAGACTACTTTTGCATTTCATCACTCTTGAGTTATCTTTTTTTCCCCCAGTTTACTTAACTTGAGACAGAAGTGAGAAAGACCAGTGATTACTGGAAAGGAGCATTAATGCATCAAATAGATTCATTTAACATGAAAGCAAAGAAACCCTACAGAGAAACCACATGTATAAAACATAGAAATACCAGTAAATGTGAAGTCTAAACATTTATAGAAAATCTTCAGAAATAACTGGGACAAAAGCAATGCCTTCTCTTTATTTGCACCCCTGCAGAATTTCTGCCTCTAATGAACTTAAAGGAGTTTCCTTCTCACGGTACGTGTCTGTTGAGCGTGGTAAATTGGAGGGCTCCAAGCTCAGACCAGGCTGTTGTGAATACACCTGAGACTTGCCTGTGCTCTAAGGCTTTGCTGGGAAAGCTCTACTGGCAGCCTCTCGTCCCAGTGGAGATGCAGTTTCTGCTGACATGAGTTTTCTTGCCAGTATGGATTCATTTCTTGGACGGAATAAGCTGTACTGACAGGAAGACTCTTGGCTTGCATAACTGTCGACATGAGAAATTTCAGAGTATAATGTGTTGAGGGGGCTGACTTTTTTTTTTTTTTATTTTTATTTTTTTTCCCCCCCACAACCTGACTGGCATGATTAAGAGCCGACTAAGCCTAATTCTTGATTTTTCTTTCTTACCGCAACCTCAAATTAAAGAAGCACCCTCTGATTGTGTGAACTGGACTAGAGGACCTTGTGACATCCCTTTCAGCTCTACTTCCCCATGATCCTATGAACCAGACCTGCTTGGTGTGGCATGGTTTTGAACTCCAGACAAAAAAGATGTCCGTGGTGAGCATATTTAGGTTACCTTGGAGAATGGGTGCCCTTCATCTCCTGTTCTGTAGCATATGCTAGAAAATGTAGATGCATAGTGGAGTCTCCCGCAAGCGACTAAAGCTAAACGACTAAAGCTATATTAGGTTTGCCTCGTGTACTGAACAACAGCTTCATAATGGATGTGTCAAATTACTTTTCAGTGAGTCCTGATATTTTAGTGCGTCTTGGCATTTGTCTCTAATGCAGATGGAAGGACATGTTGATATTTAATGCTAAGGTCAGGATAAATATTCCACTTCTGTTAATTCCCCATCCATAAACAGGTTCTTAATGCCAAGGAGTAGTGTTTTGCATATTCTTTCTGTTGGATTCCCTTTGGTCTTTAAAAATGACTGTGATGAAGCAGCCTATGGGAATTCTTTACTAAATTAAGAATCTGGTCACAGGTCCCTCTTTCAGGAGGAGGAAGAAAGGGGGTGTAAAATGGGTTGATGTTAGCAAGAGCTACACATACCGTGCTCAGGAAGAACAGCAAGCTTAATTGTATCATGCTAGTGAAACAGGAGGACAAAGGAGCCTTCTGTAAGAAAAGCTAACAACATCAAAAGATTAATAGCATAGTTGGTCCTCATGACTTGCACAACTGCGTACATGCAGGATGATCTTTTCTAATGGTAGGTTTAATTGCATCTCCTGTGAGCTCATGCCTTCCAGTTGTCGTAGTGCTTTTGGCACGCAAAGGCTGTAAGTCAGACCCTAATTTTAACATGTTATCTGCCCAGCTTAATGACATAGTGCAGCCGTAGGAGGATGGAAGATAGTTGGCATCAGCCGGAAAACATCTTCCCGCAGCGGCTAAAGGCGATCCTATTTCAACTTCAGTGAGGAGAGGAAGATGTGCTGGGTGTACCAAGTCTTCAGGCTAAGTGCGCACATCACATCATCTGATTTGACAGTCTGCTAGACGCGTGGTAACGAGATCACTAGCGTGTTGCCAACTTAATGGACAAATGTTTCTTAATTGTTCATCAAAACATTTTCCAAATTCTAACTTTTCTTACCTTGAGTGTAGAATGCAGCAACGATAGGGAAATGTGAAACAGATCATGACTGCAAGATAGCACCATTATTCAGAAGAAAAATATGTAGTGATTAATATTGTGGGCTTTTGTAATCGCTGAATAAAAACATCTTTAACCCTGATGGCTGGTCCGCTAGTCATCGAAGCTTTCAACACAGTTGGAAGCTCTTAGTTCTGTTGTTGTTCATAGTGGGTATTGGGGTGAAGTTGGAGCCCCACACAAGTGGTGATTATTTGGATCAAGAATGTAACAAGATTAATGTCTGGAGAGGACAGCGTCAGCAGAGAGCCCGACTGTTGTATTGCCATACCGCACAGTAGCAGTGTAATAGCAAGGAGTCCTTAAATGGACAAAGGAATTGCACTACAAAAAGTACAGTGATGGGAAGGAAAGCAATAGAAAACAGATGGAGGTAGGGGGAAAAGTTCTCTTCTCTTACACTTCCAGCATGCAAAGTGAATTGCTGTGATGCAAGAAGAACCACAAGGCAGAACCACTGGTGTAAGAGTGTGTGATGCTCTGTCTGCGGGATGGTTTGAAAGGCAGACATACCAGCTATTTGGCTTTCTACTTTAAGTCACTTAGCATGTGGTCTGTTTAATGACTGGGAGTTAATAGTACAAGTTAGAGCAGTAACCATCCTTCTGAATCCTCAGGATTTATTTAATGACTATAAATATTGCCTAAGTGAAGCGTAAATAACCTGTTGCTAAAATCCAGGGAATACACCCAGGTGACTGATATGTTGGCTTTTTTTTTTCCTTCTATCATCCTTACCCCCTCTGCAGCTCTTTACTGGGAAGATTGACCCACTCACTGGACAATCTGGAGGGGAATGCTGCTAAAGTTGGTGGATTAGTTTTGAAATGGAAAGCGGCGGGGTTTATGGAAATGCTGATGTAGTTTTCAGTGGCTTATACATACTCATCCCCTCTTCTATCTCCTGCCCTAAAAATATTTGCTTCTATCTCAGTTCATGTAGCTGGACTGAGTCTGAGATGGGTGTGCATGTGCACAGTCACCCAAGTTGAGCTAGCAAGGGAACACTGAGTAGGAGGCATTGTGGCACAGATATTGGGTAGCATTGGATTATTTCTTACCCCAATCTCGGGAATATTTTAAAGATGGGGAGTAGAAAATTAATTGTTCTGAATTGTTCTTTTTTGAAAATAATTGTTCTGATGTCAGTGATGCCATGACTGGATGCTGTCTTGTCTGCCTCTGCTGTGACTCTAGGGTTCTTCTGGAGAGGAGAAATTGTCAACCGACTTGCAATGGTTTATACCGTTTGTTGTTAATGGTTCGGTGGGGAAACATTAAAGGGTGACTGAACCCAATTTTGTCTCCTACCAAGAGCACCCAACAAAGCAGGGACATGGTGGGCAGAGGGCCAAGAGAAGATACAGCACTGGTGTGAAGACTGTACAGAGCTAGGCTATTGATCACAAAAGGTAGAAGCCCCCTCCTGCAAAATTACTAAGGTGTGCATTTGTGAGGATGTGGATGAATGCTGGAGAACTGTCTTGAGCACAATAGGGAGTCTGGTAGGTTAGGGGGATGAAGGGGAAAGAAAAGATGCGTGTCTGAGAAGGTGAGGAGCTCAACATCACTGCCCACCGTTGTGATGATGATATTGGTCCACCTGCTTGCCTGGCTATGCAACATTGGCCACGTCCAGATGAGTGTAGACGTTTGGCTCCCAGGGGACAACTGCAGCCGCACATCAGCCAGAGCATGCCTCCTGCCAGCCAGGTTCTGGTTTTGAGCAACACATGATGCCCCTGCGTGCGCTGCTTTGCTTTTTACCTCTGGATATGCAGGGGTCAAAAAAATCCCCATGCTGCCGCCTTGCAGTGTGCAGAACAGCTGAACGTGTACTATGTGACCCTGCAGACATGCCTGTGGCATCACATATCACACAGCTGCACTTGTCTGGATGTGGCCATTGACATGAGAATCTGAAATTGCAGGGGGATCTGTGTTTGAGAGAGACTGAAAACTTACTCCCCAGATTTCCCCAGGCAGGCTGCAGTTTTGGGAAATGTGGCCCAGACCCAATTTCTTCCCACAGTTGCAAGCTGATCCATCCAAAAGCCTTTGCTACTGAATTTGGCTTCTATAAGAGCATCTCTCATCTATCGGAAGCAAAAAACCCTCAAGCAAATGCCTTTGCCTTCTTGAATTTCTTTCTTTTTTTTTTTTTTTATTGTAAGGTATGCAAATTTTTTTGAAGCCGTTAGACTCCTTAATAAGGTGGTACTGCAGTCTGGTGTGTCTGGGCAGGGGCATCTTGAACCTAAGCTAGGCTTTAAGTCACTCTTTGATGTCTTACTGGAATATAGATTAACAAACTGAAGGTTTGCTGGGGTATAGCTTGAAGCCAGCACTTCCTTGAGGAAATGCAAGTTAGTTTCTGTCTAACCTAGGCAACTTATTAACACGATACAGGCTGTATTAATTACTGGTCTAAATTTCTCAACAGTTAGTCGTTTTAAAAGATTCGGGCAGGTAATACGCTCTATGTGTAGAGTCTAAGCCAGTGGTCCTCAAGCTTTTTAGACTCAAGGTTCCCCTTGGAAAATGCCACCTCTTGGTTTCATTCATGTTTTGAATGCAAACATACAGAGCCATTCTTGCGTTGCAAAGAATTCAGAAAGACCACAACAGGTCAGCATGTTGCAAGCAGGACTCCTATTTGAAATCTCTGGGTTTATCGTGTTAATCACGTGTAGGTGTGCAAACACCTAGCCGTGCTAATATTGACAGCACCCTTAAAAGGATCTTGCGGCACCCTACGTTGAGAATCACTGGTCTCAGCTAAGTCGTCAGACCCAAGTCTCATCATTTTCATATGCTTGCAGAACTTTCTTCCCTCTCAGGAGTTTCTAGATCCACTTCCACGGGCCTACTTTGAAGCTTATAATGCTCTTACTGTGCTGTTGGCCAGCTCTTGCCCATGTGAGTTGAACAAGGAGTCAAGCCAAGTATTAAATGGCTTCCTTTAAAAGGCCTGTGGTGGAGGACAGATGTGGGTTGGTTTTCAAATCTGGCTGATGCTTGTGTTCGAAGCAACTGAAATGCTGTTAATGGAGGGCATCGAACTTCAAGCTGCTTCTGCGATGTTGCTCCTATTGCACCTTGCTCCCCAAGCAAGCAGCTAATGAGACGCGGTTGAGGAAACGTCTTTCCAATCTGCCACTTCTGGTTGAAATGCAAGACTCCTTGTGAGAGGCAAATGCTGAACCCCAGAGTTAAAGCTCTTTTCTAACAGGACATAATCCCCTCTGGCCTGGAGCTGACAGATGAGGCAACACTGTCTTGATTAGATCCTCACTGTTTGTCACCAGCCGGTCCCAAGAGACTTCCGGCTGTCAGCCAGGATAGCCATTTCTCCTCTGCCAGTTCCCAGCTGGTCTTTCTGCTGTTGTGGCAGCTGGTGAGGAGGAGGCACCTTCTGCTGCACTTCTCATGTGCATTCCTCCCCTGTTTCCCAACCAGCGTTTCAGCTGGTTACTGCACAAGCTGAGGAGTTCTTGGGGAGAAAACAGACAGCAGGTGCCTATAACTATCTGCAGTAGTCCAAAACGGCTTAACTTTGGCTTGACAATATGTCGTTGCATTTAGCTGAAATGCATTATTGCCACATAGCTTCATGTGACCCCTTTTTGCAACCAGGACATGCAGGATATTGTTACATACCCCCTTTCAGAGCAGAAACACTTTCTGATGGAGTAGCGTCGCCTACGTGGGTGAAAGTTGCAGCCTCTGTGCAGCCAACGGAAACTCTTCGTTATGTGGGGGGGTAATTTTAACAGGTACCTCTGTGCCCTGGCTGGCAGCTGTACCCATTAGGAATGCGAGCAGAGTTAAGGTTTGTCGTAGTAACTATGCTTCTCGTTGGCAAGTCTTCAGCTGGTTGAAAGGCGTCAGTCAGGGCAGAGATTTCTTTTGAAGGAAGATTGTCATAAGTAACAGAATTTTAAATGATTGGCAGAGAGGTTTACAATGGGTAAGCAGGCTCCTGTAGCTTCTGGAGAAATATTGTGTATTGAACTGAGTCTTTGAAGAAGCAGATTTGCTCTGGTGTCGTGTTTGCACTTGGTAGTGATCTGACCTAAAAGGCTCTGAGTTGCTGTTGCAGAGAGCATCTCATCTTCCTAATCCAAATTGCACGGTGTTGCCATGGCTGCTTTGTTGCATTTTGCTCCGGAGGAAGCTTTGCTGGCAGTTGAAGTCCTTGGGGGGGACCCTTGGCATCGGAGGTGCTGTTCAGATGAGGCTATCTTTTTAAAGCTGCCACTCTATCACCATGGAACTGAAAATGCTGCTATATATGTAGCCAGCTTCGGTCTCCAACCGTATTTAGTGTGCTGGTGCTCTTGGAGCACGCGATGAAATGTATGTGACCATTAGGGGTTTCTCCCCACCTCCCCCTGCAAGACTTGTGTCTTTTGAGTGTGACTTACAAGAGAGGCTAGTGCGGTAAAAGAGAAGCACGACTAAAGAAGTGACAGGTGTCTTTAAACAGACTCTGGACTAAGACATGAGATTTCACTCTTTTTCTCTCGTTCCTCTTGTAGGAAATAGATAGACGGTTGGAAAAGAAACTGAAGATCACACAAAAAGAAAGGTAATGGTGATAGTCTGAGATGCTCTTACTCTGGTCTTCCCCGGGTGCAGCTAGATGCTTGCCAATCTGGAGGGCTGGTATGGCGGGCTTGGGCTATTAGAGGTGTCGAACGTAGCGGGTAATCTTTTCACCGAGCTGAGAATTGGGAAGGCTATAATACAGCATGCCGCTAGATGGCACTTGTAATCCATGGCAACATTTGCAGCAATCCTTGTATCTTTATACGGCCACCGCTTTGGGAAAGCCATTTAAAAAAACAAAAAAATGCTGTGGATAGCAGAACGATGAAACGGGTGAGGTCACCAGATCTCTGCCTCTGCCTGCCCTCATCTGGTTTGCTGAGCTATATGCCAGTGAGACTTCCTTTTTTTTGTTTGGCTTCTCTGCATCCTAGTTTGGGCTGGTGAAAGGGAGGAAAAGTTTGTATTTGCTGCTATATGCAAGTTAGGAAATGGGGAGGGTTGTAGTCTCCTGCTTTCTCTTCCTCCTGCTGCAAAAACACTGGTGAGAGTCCATGTATTCATCCTCATTGGGTCATCGGGAGGCTTCGGGTTGTGTTTCCTTCACCATCTGAAAAATCAGACTGCGCTTTGGTGATGGGAAGGTGGGGGGGATTGTGCCAGTGGGTTCGGGGCGGGGTGGGGGGGACTTAATTCCAAAAACCTGGAGCAATGGAGCAAACATAGATGTGGCTAAACCTGATGATGAGTGCTCTCTGAATCCCCGCTCCTGAAGGGGGAACGTTGGCTTAAGCACATGTTCAGCTGTAAGTGCCTAAATCCCTTTTTGTTCCTGAGCGTTAAGGAGTGTTTCAGCTGCTCTGCTGGCTGACTTTTTATCCTTGAAAATTTTGTTCTTAATTTTGTAAGATGGGTGCTGGTTGCAAAACAATTTTACTCTCTCTTCCTGTTACTGAAAAGGGAGATTTTTTTCCTGCTCGGCAGTCTGCTAACCTCTTCTCCCTTCCCCCCTCTTTTTTTCTAATGAAGCGTGGAAGGTTGGTCTTCCTGCCTGTTAGATTTAAGCATACAGGGCAGATCTCCGATGATCAGGTTTACTCCTGTAACAGAGTTGGCAATGTAACAGGGTCTTCAACTACGGTAAGATGCTGCTTTTCATGGAGACAGTTAAACCACAGGGCTCCTGCTCAGAACCCAACAACCTTTCTCATAGCTGGCTGTGTACACTAATCAATTGTTTCTTTTTTCTTCAGTAGTAGAAAATCAAAATCTCCTCCCAAAGTGCCGATTGTGATTCAGGACGACAGCCTTCCCTCAGGTCCTCCCCCGCAGATCAGGATCTTAAAGAGGCCCGCAACTAATGGCGTGCTCAGTAACCCCAACTCTGCGAGCAGACCAGCCTTTCCCGTGAAGTCTCTGGCACAAAGGGAGGCAGAATACGCAGAAGCCAGAAAACGAATTCTGGGCAGCGCGAGCCCAGAAGAGGAACAGGACAAACCCATTCTAGACAGGTGAGATGTGCTGGGCTTTAAAGGCCGTGCCACTTGCACCCTTGCTTCAGCAAATGACTTGCTGCAGATAGCGAGCAAAGGAAGGAAGAGCTGTATTGTGATCTGAATACTTCACACTTGAAATGCAAGATAAACCCCACTAAGAGGCAGGTGCATCCTGTTAGCAAACTTGACAGAGTGTATAAATAATAGAGATGAAAATAGATGCCTGCTGGTGACAGCGCTCATCACGGCCTTTTAAATGCCTTTGCTGAGGACGGGGGGGCCCTGTCTGACATGGCCTGGAGGAGGTAGCACCAAGAGGTCAGCTAAAAATGCCCCTACCAGGGAAAGGGATCATAGTTGACTGCAATGGGGACATAACCTGTGCTGATAATCATTAACCTTCTGCAAAAGGTTGGCAGCTCCTCTGAGCCAGAGGGATGCTACCAGGAAAGGAGCTCATCTGTGGCATTGAGCTGGCTTTCTTGACTCGCTGCTTGTGAGACCAGCTGAGTCTCTCTCCCTGCAAACTAGCTGTATCAGTGAATGTGGGTTGGAAAGTAACAGACAGTTAACATCAGAATCTCTCTTCCCCTCCGAGTATTTTAAGTGTGGATGCGTCTTCATTGCCTCCCGATTTCCATTCACAATAATTTGGCTCTGTCACGTGCAGTTGTTCTGGCATGTGCTCTAACTAAACATGTAATCCCTGGAGCAGTTGTGGGGGAGAAGGCCGTTTGACGCCAGGTTGATGACTCAACCTCTTTGTAAAGGCTTTGGAAGACTTCCCTCTTGTAAAAAATGGAGTTGCTGCATGTGGGTGGGGCAGAAAAGGTGCTTGAAAGGCCTCTTAAAAGAAGCTGATGATAATTGCACATAATGGAGACTGAGCCAAGGCATCTTAATTACCTAGCAGCAGAGCGGTGCCTTGCGCTTGCTGAGTCCTGGCTGCTGAAGAGCAGGGTCAGAGAAATACAGGACTAGCAAACTCTGCATTGCCTTCTCAATGGAAGCACTGTAGAGCTGCAGCCATGGCAGTGATCTTCCCCTGAGCTTAGCAGTATTTATTGGAAGTGTGTGGCATGAGGCAGAAGCATTGCTTATTTTAAAACAGACTCTGATCTCCTCTCCTGCAGACCAACAAGGATCTCCCAGCCAGAAGACAGCAGACAGCTCAACAATGTGATTAGGCAGCCACTGGGTCCTGACGGTTCACAAGGCTTCAAACAGCGCAGATAAATGTGGGCGAGAGATCATGCTGCCGAAAGCAGGGTCAGCTGCCACGGGTTGCACTGCCGTGGTGGACAAATGGACTTGAGCAAAGGGAACTACCTGGTTTACTTGCACTGTGAGCCCCTTTGCTCTGCCCACTGTGACCTTGAACCCCATGCACTGTGACCCCCCCCACCCCCCCATTCCACCCACTGTGATTGGCACACCGACAAGGGCTGTCCCAAGTCGCTGTAAAAGGAAGCGGGGGGCGTTAAGGACTCAAACAGGTGCAGAGTGTTGTGTGTGCCACTTCAGCCGAAGCTAGCGCCAGCAATAATGTTTGTACTTATTAACCTGGGATTTAAAACAAAGATGGGAAACTTCCCCCAAAGCGCATGTTGTCTTCATCACTTCAGAGCAAGTTCTGTTTCAAAGATTTTTTTTTTTTTGTTTGTTTGTTTAGTTTTTGTTTTGGTTTGGGTTTTTTTTTGGGGGGGGGGGGGGGACTTTGTTTTATATATCAGATCAACTTTAAACCAAGTGCATGGGAAGGGTTTTAACCGTTTAGTTTGTTTTAATTGAGAGAGGTAGTTGATAGCATTCTAAGAAAAGGAGTTTCGATGAATTTCCGCCAGGATTTGGCAAGCTTAGCTTCCTGATCTGTATTTCCACTGCTGCCAAGCCAATGGAAGAGGACTCCCAGGCTTTCTAATTGCCTTGGCCCTGGAAGCTGATGGAGTCCAGTGGCATAATTCACTTACTGCACCTGTTATAAGCTTGACTAGTTTTCTGCTGGCTTGAGGAAGGTACATCCTTTCGTATCTGGGGGGAAGGGAGCGTAGACAGATCCCATGGAGACCTCCTGCGGCTTCCAAGAAAGCAGGGTGAAGGAATAGGGCTCTGTTGCATCCAGGTTTACAAGCTAGGAATAGACTAGTTCAGTACTGTACTGGCCCATGGCAAATGTGGCAACGAGCCATGCTCTGTAAAGCCTGTGCTTGTCGAATGACTGACATACGGTAGGAGGCAGGACAGCCACCAGGTACAAACCTTGAAGCAGTGTGGCTTGTGAAGGACTGATGGCTCTAACCTTTCAGTGATGGTACAATTCAGTGCTGTACCTGATGCATTTACTTCTAGGAATCATAGACACCGGGAACAAACCCTGTTCAATAAACTTTGGAAAAACTCCCTGTTTTCATGCATTGCTGGTGGTAACAAGTGGCTTTTTGCTAGGCTTCAGGCAACTGCTCACTTTTTGCTTCTCTAAACCCTGGAAAGAGAAAGGGGTCTAAGGTAGGGCTTCATCTGGCAGTCTGAAAACCTTCCTGGATTCCAGCCATGGAAGAGAAATTTAAGGTACCACCAAATTTATTGTTGCAGTACATTGTCAAATACAATTGCTCCATGGCCTCTCCTGTGTCCTACACTGTCTGGTTTTGTTTTGTTGCATTGCCTAACTCTTATGGTAGATGAGAAAACTGACCTACCCTTCATGGTAATTGTCTTGAGGGATTAGATGAACACTAAGATGTCTTTCTGATGGGACAAAGAGAAGGCATCTTGTATGTTGGAAAGACTCCAGTCCTAGAGGGGATTCACCATGTTGCTAGAGTCTCTTCCTACAGGCAGACCTGCACGGCAGAAAAACCGACTGCACCTTTTTGACCACAGACCACCACAGAAGGTTTAAACCATTCCTTCAGCCAAAATTGCCCGTGGGCTTGTCTGCTTCAAGCTGTGTTCCCACAAATTGCCTTTCTCCGCTTCTGGTGTTTGGAGGATGTATTCTGTACTGGCAAAATATGGTCCACCCTCTCTGTGCTCTGTAGGTTGAACGGTGGACATTTGAACCCAGCCTCTTCTACCTGAAAGGAAGCAGCTGTACAAAACCTCTACCTAGAGCGAGGTGTGTGGGAGATTCCCAGCCAGTAAACTGACACGCGTACAGAGATATACAGCAAACAAATTACCAGAAAAAAAAATCCTATCTATGTGCAAAACATAATCTGCTAGAATACAGATCTGTTCACTGACTTGATCTTCTGTCCCATCGCCCTGTGTGATTCCCTGAATCAGGTGAGCCCTCAATGGTTGTTGTAAAGATTTCTTTTTTTCTTTTACTCTGCTGTAATTTGAGAGGTGGCCATGTGTACCGATGTCCCCTTCGGCCTGGAGTCATTTCTCAAAGGCTGTAATCTGATGTTTACGGAACTTCCTCTCAGGTAGGGCTTGGCATGTGCCCCGGGGCACCTGTAGAAGCCAGCAGCAGCTGCATCGCAGGAAACGTTATCTTTCCTTCAGTGGTGGCAAGGAGAAACCCATGGGGATGGCTGGAGAGAGGAGGATGGGCGGGGGTGGGGGGGAGGGGGGGGACAAGACAGCAATAACTAGTCACCACGCCTTTCCTTAACTCTCAGTTAAAATAGCTATTACTTCAGATGGCCAGCTGCTGCAAAAGCCTCTTGACGTAGCTTCAGCTATCTTGCCAATGTTAGGACAACGGTATCCTCTTCTCCTGCCTGCTGTCCTGTGCAGCAGAGCCTAAAATTTCTTGCTAGTTGCACATAGGACAGAGCCGGCGCCTCCAGCATCAGCCTCGCGTAAATTCACATTAGTTACGCGAGGGGAGGTCATCGCAGCACCCGTCTCCAGCTTCTCCATCCCTATAGCACGATCAGTTGGGATGCTTCCAGCCTGCAGGCAGGATGGGGCAGCATCCCTGTAGACACCCGCCACCGGGCCCCTCCTAGATGGACAGTAGGTGAGCGATCCTGTCCGGAAATCAGTGTTGGGATAAGTCAAATGCCTTGTCTGCAGAGGGGCTAGAGCTTTTGTTCTAATACACGTTTATAGGGGTTTTTTGTGTGTGTTCTTAGGGGCACTTTACGGTTCTCTCGTGTGTGCCTGTATGCGTATGTGTGCGTTCAGGTGGTGAGAAGTGCAAAGTTGTGTGCATCCGACACACAGGATCTAGCTAGAGCCGCCCGTCTCCCCGTGGAAGTGCTCCTAAGTATGCAGAAAAACATTTTATAAATTGTATTTTAAATAAATGTGTTTAAACTTTTAAAAAAAAGTGCAGTTTGTATTGAACTCGTTCGTGTGCATTGCTCTTCGCATCCCACCCAGGCTTTGTGTGCAGATCTGGACAGCAACATCCCAGCTTGTTTGATTTGATAAAAAGCTTACAAAGACCGCACCGTGAAGGTGGAGGGCTGGGGGAGGGAACTCCAAGTGGCTTCTTACTGCAGCGAATCAAGTAAAATTACTTAATTTCTGCATCCTCTCTTTCACATGTTTATCTCAGGCTTGTCCATGAACATGGGGGACCTTTCTGATTTTTCTTCCCCATTTGTGTGACGACCACAGATAAATTGAAAGGAGTGATCTAACATGCTGCGTACCGAAAGCAAGCTGCTCATGCTGCAGGCTCTTTTTCTGAAAAGCCCTAAGCCTTAAATTCTGCATCTACATGGTTTACCTGGACTGGGAATAGTGGGAAGAACTAACGGGTTGGAGCTGCTCTGAGATTGCCTTCTATTCATGAACACCAATGCAAAGTGCTTCATGCATTCTCCTAGCCACCTGCTCCCTGGCCCTCAATCTTGATACCGTCTTCATGAGAGCAGCTGTACGTGTTGCTCACAGGATCCTGAAGCCTTCTGGTCCCTTTGGCAAGCAGAGCCTTTGCGATGCAGACAAAGTGCTGAGGGTAGAAAATTGCTTTTATTCTGCAAAAGACTTGTTTCCTTTTTTAAGCTAAGCCTCAACCAAAGTTGGGCACCCGGGCAAGTTGCTCACCTGGGGCAGTGCAGGTGTGTGAGCAAGGTTTTGAAGCACTAAAGAAAGCACCGGGGGCTACGCTAAACATCCTTGAAGTTGTGGGAAATAGGATGAGACAGCTCAAGGTGTCTCCCAGCTTCTCCCTCTGCCCCTGTATTACTGGAGTCTGACCAACTGGGGAGGGTAGGAGCCATCCAGTTCCTATCAGTGTTGGTATCCAGTCGCACCAGTGAAGGTGGAGGCTGCTGCGTCACTTTTGTTTTGAAATGGATGCAAGAAAGCTAAAATGAATGGGACTTACAATAGTACAAGGCACCTTTTTGGTTCTCTTTGGAGCTAATTCCCCTTTATAATCCCAGCTCAAGGTGAAGGTGCGAGTCTGTACCCTCATGGCTGGGAATACCTGTGTGCTTGTGTGTCTGTGTGTGATTTAGATTTGGTTTACACAAATGTCTTCAGTGCTGGTGAACCGGTTGATGACAGCAGCACCGTAGGAGGGGACAGGCCCCAAGTCGGCTACCCCCTACAAGCAGCTGAAAAGGAGAATTGAACTCCGCCATGTGAAGCTTCCTGTTTTCACACTGTAACGCTGCCTTGGGGGTGTGATGCTGGCCATCGGGAGCATGGTCCAAGTCTACCCAGCAGGTTCTCTCTGCCATTTTAAGAACACAGCTTCTTCCAGGTACTACCTGCTTCGGATCCACACGGCCCTCAAATTGCTTGCCATCCTGCGGGCAGATCTCTCCTGAAGACTACGCCACAGACTGGACAGCTGGTTGTGCCCGTTCTACAAACTGGCACCTGTGGAAACGAGGCAAACGACACCCAGCACGAGGAGGAGATGGAGCAGGACCGCAGAGGGCTGCATCTGACGGACGGTTTCGAGCGATCATCCACAGACCTCCGGTTACACAAACTCAGTCCCGGCAACTCCCGTCCTCTCTCCGCTCAGCTGCTCCACTTCAAAATCGTGGGGCGAGAGCTCAACCAGCCCCCAGGCACTGCGCAGGGCCAGCAGCACGCCACACGCTCCACCCCCACGCGGGCCCAGAGGAGGATCGGGTCTGCTGATAACGCGTGACGGCAAGGTTTCCTTTCCTGCTTGGGACGCGCTTCCCGTATTTGCTCTGGGGTTGACTTGCGCTTCAGTTTGCAGCTTGGGTTGGAAACATGCGGTCTGCCAAAAACGTCCCTCGCTGGAGCCATCTGATCCCAGCGGTCTTTCCTGCCCCGGTGCAGGGGGGCCGGTAAGGTCCCGATGATGTGTAAGGTCCCGTCCAGCCCCGAACAACGATGAAACGACTGTCTGCTTTATGCTGTGCCATGCTAGGGCTGTATAAAGGAAAAGAACCGGTCATTTAAAAATACTAGTTTTAAGGAAGTTTCAGGCTTGTAATAGATGGTTGCAATTGTTATCTCCCTAGCTCGTTGCTGGTTGTGCTCATGCTGAACCATCTGCCCTACCATCAGTTTGGAAAGACAAGACATTTATCTGCTGCTCTGCCTGCTGCTCCCTGCCCTGCTTTGCTACTGCGCCTTGTGCCCCCGCCTATCGACTGCTCTGCTGTCTGCTCTCCGTCCTTCCCTCGCCCATCGGCTGCTCTGCAT